CCAAGGGAGATCGGTCCCATCTGGAATTCACAGGTTTACATCAACTAAGTAAGGGCCACATGGTCTTGGGAAATAAGGCCGGAGAGGGGACGAAAATGATGGGAAGAAACCTTCACGCCGAAAGGCGATTAGAGGCAGAATGCTCGCAAGGGAGTCACAAGGGAGGGTGGATACTGGTTGAGGATCCACGTTGCGGTGACGGGGAGGGTCATGACGCTCAGTGACTTTCTCACAAGAGCCTAATCGATTCATAGACAACCCGTTAGCAAACACTTGCTGGTCCTACGCGTTGCCATGATGTGCATCTCCTTCCCGACGGCCGGTGAGCGACAGAATTCAAGCCCAAGTGACTATTAAGCAGGGAGACAAGGAGATATATGTATTTGCGGAAATCAGAAGGGGGAGAAAGTCAGACGGATACGGTGAGAGAAGCGGTGCAAAAATGGTCAGGGTTCATGCAAAACGATGGGGCAAAGAGCTGGAGTGCAGTTGGTTTTTTTCAGTTCAATGCATTCTTGAGGGTGAAGCGAAAATGGGTAACCGGAGCTCTCACCTAGGCGAACACAAGGCTGAGAAAAATAGGTGGGTGTCTACAATTATGTTTAAAACCGAGGTAGAGCTGACGGGGGGGGGGTAATGGGCACGTACACACTGGTTTGGATGTGTATCAAAGGGACGACCGGTCATATCCGTTAAATTAAGCATGACCTCAGCTCATAGTTAGATGCCTGTGTTACTGTGGGCCGTTATAATCACATCTGTTTTGAGGGAATTATGAAATCAGCTTTTACCTGTCACGAGCGTCTACATCCACTTTGGCTACGTTGACCAGAAATTTCACCATGTTGAGATCACCTTCACTGGCTGCCACATGTAACGGAGTACGACGATCGTAGTCGCTGGTGGAGAGATCCACGCCTTGCATATATAACCTGAAACAAGTGAGTAGCATCTTTTTTATCTCATTCTACGCTCGCCGTGTGGGCGGTGTCGGATCTAACCTTGTATCCTCCTCATTGATGCGCCCGCGCCGCTGAGAAGGAAGAAGGAGGCGCGTCAATGAAGGCATAATAATAGGTCCAACTCCACCAGTAATAGGTCCGTTCCACCATACTGCGAGCGTGACGCGCACCATGAATTACCAGATGTGGCGCGCGAGTGTGGCCATGGGCCTAAGTTCCTTACGCAGAAGGGTCTGACAGTAGCCATGAACTTTTGTGCATGGTCCTGTTACGAAACCCTGTGACGCAGACGGATAGAGGGCAGCGGCTGCCAAAGCATCGAAACGTGCAAAAACGTATGGCGAGCCAGGAAACGGGATTTTTCAAGGGGAGGGGACTCCGGGGTGGGTGAGCTACTTATAGTCGGTGAAAAGCTGGAGTGAGCGAAGTCACAACGGCCATAGTGCCATGCGGACGAGAGAGTGCAGAGAAAAA